CTTCGGTCAATATTCATTAGTTCCCAGAATGCACTTCTACAGTGGTATACGCTGGAGTGTATACGGAGGAGTTGTATACGATGATGATATACCACTCTCCACTGTATATCGTTGTTATAGACCCATGTTATACAACTGTAATCGGACTTAGAGTGGTATAAAATATAGTCTATATGTGGAAAATGAAAGATTTTACTCCATTTTGGAAAAAGCTACATTGTTAAGTATAAAATGGAGTCAAACAAGGTTGTATCATTTTCTGCCTACTTTTTGCTCCTTCATTTAAAGGTTTACACGAAAGATTAAGAAATTGAGCTCAGAAACATGTGATCTGACACAGTTTATAGTCTATATCATTGTCAACAAGACCTGAATAAGTAATTCAGTGACACTAGCCAAGCATCAGTCTCGTTCTAGAAATCCAGGATGGCTGACATTCACGCAACAATTTTTGCTGTATTGTCCGAATTGATCATTTAGGAGCCCTAAAACTGCCCAATTGTTAAAATATTTGATTGGATACTTAAATACAATATCTGATTGTAAAGATTTGGTGAATTATTTAGTCTAAGGATGGTGTTATGCAGTGTTCATTCATCTAACCCCTTATATTGCTGTCTATGAATGCATTGTATCTTAAATTCACATATTCCATGTTAAATGGATAAATTGGTTCTAAATTGGTTTCATGCATTTCAATGTCTACACATTGTACATAAAGGTAATTTTTTATTTGCAAATTCAACATATATACAATATATTATAATACATGACAATATATCAATACACATACATAGTCTATTGAAATTTGTTTTAAAAAGATCTCTAAGCTATTTTTAGATCAACATTTTTTCACTCCTCATCTCTAAATTACTTATATGTATAATTTTAGTCCGTTGATTACAGTGTTTTCAAAAGTTATACTTTTGTATCTGTCTATAGTATTTGAGTTCTTAACCCAATTGGAATATATTGTGTATCCCACAATTGTGAGAATTACATTTCTTGACTGAGAGACATTACCTTCCAACATATAGAATCTTATAATAAAATGTTTCCATTCGATATCACATCTCAAGATATTTCTAATTTTTTCCCAAATATTTTGTACAATCTTACAGTCCAGTAATAAATGTTTTGGAGTTTGTATCACTCTACATTCACTACAATACTGGTTAATTTCTTTATTCCATTTGTATATAGTATTCCCAGACGCTAAAATATTATGGAAAAGCTAAAAATTGAATTCTGCATGTTTTTTATATATCATATTTCTAATTTTAGAATCATACATTTTTCATAGAAAGTTTTTCATCTTGGTGTGTTTAAATGGTTGCCCAACATCTTTCTATAATGCTTCTTTCATGTTTACTTTCTAGTAAAATATTAAACAATCGATAAGCATTGATGTGCTGTGTATGTATTTATTTACCATCTTTCATAAGGTAATTGTTTTTTGCTTTTATATTTGTATATTTTTCTGTTTTTCTATCCAAATTTTGAGTGAGTTTATTCAAATAACCTTTTATTCGTATATATTCGATTATCCAATTATGTTTCATTTTCAGTTTATTCAGAATATACTGCTCATCAACGAAAACTCCATCTTTAAAAAATCATTTATATAAATAAACCCACTTTTTATCCAATTATGACTGTAAAAAACGTCTCCCTTGTTGCTCACTAATTATTCATTAAGCCAACATATTTCACCAAAGAGATTTTGTTTGTTTAATTTGTCAATTTTACATCTATTGAATGCACTAAAATATCTTTAAAGAATTTAGGCATATTTATCTTTATTTCTTGTGTAAATGTAGTTTTAACGAAATCTTTTATCTCGAATCCACATTTTTTTAATATAATGTATTGGTATATTTTTCCAAGTATCATCTTCAGAAAAGATTCGTTTTACCCAACTTCCTTTAATTGAAGTTATTTTCAATTCTAGATCTACTAACCCTAGACCCCCATTTTCAACTTTTCCTATAATTGAATATCTTTTTAATCTATCTCTTTTCCATAAGAAATCAAAAACACGATCAGGCACATTCAGTATTGAAAAATTATAAACTAGTTTTGAAATCCCTAAGCTATTAATCACTTGAACTTTCCCAAAATATGTGAGTTTTCTTTTCTTCCACGATTCAAATAATTTTTCGATTTCTAAAATCTTTGGGTCCCAATTTAATTCTTCACACTTTTTAAGAACATTTCTGATGTAAACTCCAATTCAAGGACTTTAATTGGTTCCTTTGTAAATTTTATATTCGTGTATAAATCTCGTTCATTGTTCTGATCTCCAAGCCATATACCAAGTGTTTTATCTAAGTTTAACTTAAAGCCACTTAATTTTGAGAATTTGTTCATTTCTTCGAGAAAATATATTATTGAGTATTTTTGTCTTAACATAATTCTTATATCGTCCGCATGTTGTAGTATTTTAATTTCATTATTGTTTATAGTTATACCTTCTATTTTAGCATTTTTTCTATGTTATTTGACATTATTTCTGTGCATAATATAAATAACAGTGCCGCTAATGGACACCCTTCTCGGATACCTCGTTCAATTTTAACTTCTCTTGAACAATACCCATTATTTTTAATTTTTAATTTAGGATTTGTATACATAATTTTCGCCGATTTTCGAAATTTTTCCCCAAAATTCATGTTTCAAAGACTTTAAACATGAAATCCCAATTTAACATATCAAATGCTTTTTCTAAAGTCTTAACTAATTAAAATGCCTTATATATTTCCTCATTTGCATATTCAATTACGTCAATTAGTAGTCGTGCGTTTGTACCAATGAATCTATGTTCTATGTACGCTGATTGATTTATTCCTACAAGTTTTTTTTACAAAATGTTTAAATCTGTTAGTCAGTGTAAAAGCAATTATCTTATAATCATAATTAGTTAAACTAATAGGCCTGTAATTATGTAATATTTCTCTATCTCGACTTTCGTGAAGTTTTAATTTTTTGACAGCTTCTCTCAATTCATCTTTAGAAATGTCATTTTTTGAAAAATCCTTTTCAATTTGTGTTAGTGTACTCTTCACGTTAGTCTCATTTAAATAAACATTTATATTTTCAATGTTTACCTTATCAGTTTGATATAGAATTTCATAAAATTTTGCTGCTGCTTCTAAAATATCTTCATCTTTTACACCAGATTTTATCTTTAAACTAATTATAACATTCATTTTTGTCTTTTTCTTTCTAGTTTCAGGAAGTAAGAAGTACTCCGTTCACCTTCCTCCATCCATTTTGCTCTTGATCTGATATATTAACCACTTCCTTCATTTTGATAAAGGACCATGTGCACTCTCCATTGGGATCTCCCCATGAGAAAAAAATAATTCATCTGATTTTTCAAAATGAGTATTCTGCTTAAATTATTACATTTATATGCACACTAGTATCTTGTTGACCTATATTCAGCACTGTATTGATGTACAGGCCACTTATTAGGGTCATAATTCAACCATGAAGTGTAGAGGCATAGATTCCAAACCAGAAAGTATTTTAGTGTCTGTCAAAATCCACTTGCATCCTACGCATCCGTACATCTTATCCAAATATGTTACTACATAATGAAATATAATAGTATATATTTTGGTTTTACAAAGTTGTATGATTTTTGATAAGTGTAAACGTTTTTGGAGCATTTTTCTATAGCCATTTTGCAGAGAAAAAATGATGAAAAATGCACAATCTTTTAATTTTAAGTATGACCTGAATCGATTGAAAACTTCACATTTGCACATTTGATGAGATAAACCATCTGTGTCATATTGTGAAATTAAGAAATTACAATCGATTCAGGTCATAGTGTATTTTTAGTATTTTTGTGATAATCAATGGAAACCAATGGCCTCTATTGGGATCTGCTGATATCCTCATGTTAAGTCAATGATGCACAGCCCCATGTAAGTCAATACAACCTTACTGAACTAAATGGCCCCTATTTTAGCCTATGTGTGCCCGAGCACTTTAATATTTACCAAAGAGTTATATGACATTCTATTCTTCATGTTACACCTAAGAATTATTCATTTTGATCATAATGGTATTGGTATTTGGTATTGATAAGAAAAGTAACCTCAAATTCATAGCTTAGAAACCTAAATCATATATTTAAAACAATTTTGTATTATTTTATGTTGCATTGTGTACTCCAAATTGTGAAAATTGGGATTTTATTTTTTGGCAATTTTTTGACCTCTGTTAATGGCAGGCATAATTCAGCCTAAACGCCGGAAGTATATTAAACGGTTATAATAAAAATGATTAGGGAACATATGTAGTCATGTTAATGTTAGGTTAAATATCGCTGCGCTATAGTGTGCTACCAGCTCCTTTATTAGACGTCCTAGAGATTTCATACCATGGACTATGAGAGTCAATATATGTTTTCAATGATTGAGTTGAGCATGTCTTTGCATTCGGTCGACTACGCTTCTTAAAAGAGAGCTTCGTCTTCAGTTTATAACTAGACTCTGCGTGCAGACAACGGTAAAGTCAGAAACCGTTGTCACAAATGGCGGACATTACCGTCGCTTCAATTAGATTTTCACGAACTGTATGTGTAATAGAGCACCCACTCCACTCCACTCTACCATCGAAATGAAGTCTATTAACCGATCAAAATGAGATACGGGACAACGGACACTGTAATTACCACATGCCGTTGTCTTTCTAAATTACTCAATTTCAGATTCCGTTTTGATTCGAAATTGGGATTTCATGTGAAACATGATCACAAGAGCTTAATACATGCACAGAATTAACGACGATGAAATCCCATGAAATGAGGACCATGTGATTAAACAGTTGAAGCGACGGTTATGTCCGCCATTTGTGACAACGGTATCTGTTAGGCTATTCCGGGGTGAAGCTGCGGTTCTGGCTGCGGTTCTGGCAATTTCTCGTGTAGTTTAATCATGTTAAATATTTTTTATGTTCATATTCATTCTCCTTCAAAATATTCACGCATGTGTTCAAAGAGATCATTAGGCGATGATTCAAAACCCGGGACTCATTAATTTAGGTAAACCTGGCGTATCCGCCGGTATATAAGGATCAGACATCATAACGCACAACACACAACATCACGAAAGCAAGAGCTCATTGGCATTTTATAAAGAACGAAATGAATTTTCAGTTCAAGTTGAGATTGATTTTCACTTTTTCAATATTAAATGTAACCGTCGGGTTCAAGTTTTTTCAAGATAAAATACCAAATGGGAACAATGTCCCCCATCCATGTAAGCCTAACTACGTGTGGCAGGGGGTAGGACATAAAAATGCGATGGGTGGTGGAAACAGAAACGCGTTTGGATTGGCATTTGACGCAAATGGAAAGGTAATTATATTAGTTATTCTTAAAATATTTTGCAACATTCTTAAAACTATTTCATCTTGTATTATGTGTCCTGGGAGTAGGACCTTATTATAATGTCGTAGTATCACTATACCCCAACTTGTTTATTGGATAACTTCCTGAATTCGAATTCTGCCAGATTTTTTGTTTTCCCAATTTAAAAGTACTACTAAATACTGTAAGTTAAACTGCAGATTACATAGCCGTAGGGACCGGGGGTTCAGTGGGTTAGGACGAACCCCTGGATAGGGTTTCCCCAAAAAATATTTGTGGAAAACCAGAAACATTAAATTCAATTTATATGACCAATAAATAAAAACATAATAAAGTTGTACAATTCTCTCCAAACGTTTGGCAACCTTAGGCAAGGGTTGCAGGGGCGCCAAAAACAATTGTGTCAAATCTTCTATCTCAAAACGCATAATTTATGCTCGTTAAAACGTCAATTTATGGCAATACCTTTCTAATGTTTTTCATCATATAAAATCAAAATGGAAAGCCGATGTTTTAAAGCTCGACACAACCTATTCTCACTTTTCTCAATGTAAATGTTACTTTTCTCGAACGATTTAGATTACCAACACTATGTAAAATCCCATGATTAATACAGTATAATAAACCTATTAAACAAACATATCAGTTGTTTTAATTCATTTTAACCTGTTATCATATATATGTATAAGACATAATTATAACAATGAATGATACGGAAAATTTCTCATCTGATACTTGTATAATTTGTTTTAATTTGTTATCAGCTGTTATCAGCTGTTATATTCCATCTGATTCAACTAGGAAAAACATATTATACTGGATGATACATTTCTCTGCTCTTGCGTATAATTTGTTTACATTAGGTTACATGTCGTTGACACAGCGTGTTGACACTATCTTATTGAATATATAAGCACAAATGCCAAAGGGATGGGTGACTAAAAACTTTTAAGAAACCCAACAAGAAAAGCAAACTGTAAGTGTAAATCTGTCATAAGAAAAGTAGACCCTATATAATCCCAAAACCATAATCTAACGTGAAAAGAAACAATGTCTAACATCCCCCTCCCCCTCCAATCGAGAACCAATATCACAATCCAGGACCAGAACACCAAGGGACATTTCATTCATACTGAAGTCATTACAATACATGTTGAAGAAAAATTGAAAAAAATTGATAGCCAATACTCATAACATCAAAAATAGTTGTAGTTACTAGTACTCATAAAAGATAGAGTATTCAGTCTCAAATGATGTGGGATAGATAAAATCAAGTCTCGAAGTCCATAGGCAATTCAAAGGGTCAACATCCGTTCGCAAAGCCGTCATCATAATCCATAAAACACAACAATTCACAATGGTCATCAGGAGAAAACTATGGCTGGTTTCAATCCCTATTTCTCAACCATTAATGCCATAGCCGGGATCCACCTCAAAAGGTGCCATGTGGAAAAATAGTGAGTTCATTGCCAATTTAATTATACCATTCCTACATCCTTCAGCATCTCAAGTGGTAAAACTTGAAATTTTCGAAATTAATGACTTGTACTTTTCAGCAAAGTACAGAAAGTATTTCTTTTAAGAAGTTTTTTACAAGTTTAACCTTGACCTAACAGCTTGATCACTAAAATATGGTGTCTTGATTTGAAATCTAGATATTTTGAGCACACCCTGCTATATCTAAAAAGCTGGGATACATAAACCCCATATATGGGTTAAGTGGAATATTGCTATCCAAATGTGGAAAGTTAACTATGACAAAATTAATGTCATCTCTTTTGTCATATAATTTACATTCTATACTCATCACTCTCTATCATAAGACACAACACACATTTCTTCAGTTTCAAGAAATGAGAGCGCTTGGCACGCGTGTTTATTAATGACCATAGTACAACAGTTACATGAATAATGAGAACATGACAGTGTATACGCATACAGTGAGTGAGTTAGTGAATGTAACTAGAAAATACAAAAAAGTATAACTGCACATGTATGACAATTCGATTGACACCATTAAAACCTCATCCAATTATTAGGATTACGAGGACTCTTAAACTAAGCAAAGACCCAAAATATTGAGGCCGAAATTCAAAAAGGTCTTTGCAGAGATAAAAAGGTATGCCAATCAAAATATCAATTTGTACGATCAATACTGACAAAATTTATGAAACATACAGAAATAATATAATCTACAAATTAGGAGTTAAGTGTATTCCTCGCACGCTGGCAAGCCTCAGAATGACGTGTTCCTAACACTTACTCACTCACTCTAAACACAAATAACCGCCAAACCGTTCAGCCAATAGAAATCATTTATGTTCTCAAGTCGCTACACTGCGTTCCGCTCCACCGAACATAAATAGCTAATATGTACTATTGTCTGGTTCAATGTTAATAAGAAGATCAAGATAAGGTGCATAAGGTGACATACAAGGTGATAAGGTGACATAGACATATTGAGTGTTTTCAGAAAAGCGGGTATTGATAAATTAAGTTTTGACATTTGAAAGTTGTAATGAATTAATATAAATGATTTTTCATAATAAGTCACCAGAAGTGATTAGTGCAGCAGTTGACAGATATATTTTAGTTTTAGCATTTATAACCTGCTTGCAAAAACACGGGCGCCCATTCAGATTATTAGCGGTTTTATTATGATATTGGATAATAACCAGACTATAACATACTATATAATAAAATAATATATATATGATAATAATAATATATGATAATATTCCATGAAAGAAAAATGTGGGCACTTTATTAACTGAAATCAATATGTCTTAAGATGAAAGCAACATTGTTAATGGAGACAACGTAAGACTGCGACATTTTAACCCTTTTGATGATTTCAGTGTTCGTGAATCACGGTCGCGGTGATTTCAGTGTCCGGGTGTATTAATAGATGATTCACTTGTGATTATGTGTATATCAGATTCATTTTAGTTTTTTTAACACCTCCAGAGGGTCCAGGGTGTTCCAAAAGTAACAGGACTGGTGCTGGTATTTTGTTAAATATACACCAATTGTCTTCAAAATTTTACATAATGTACCTTCATGTTTTGTAACTAAAACATAATTTTTGTCGAAACTGATTTAGAAATCGGCCGATGGCTACTCATCGGCCAGCGCCCGGTGCATATGTGGCCTAGGCATTAGAGAGAGACCGAGGTGGGAGAATAGATATCCCCCTCCCCTCTACACCAAACTTGTTCTCACTACGCTTTCGAAAATTGCCTGAAAGGCCTCCTCACACATTATTAAGGAAAACATATCAACACATTTTGCGCATTTAACCATTTGATAACATATTGTGGATCTTATCTTAATTTGTTAATGTGAATTCGCACCTTCATTTGCATGGAAGACTTTGATAAAATCCTTTTTTGATGATCTTTGTTAGAATGCTGATGAAAGCTTCGAAATTCCAAATTGAACAGTCTACTAAGGATACCATGTTGTAAATATTGTTTTCTTTATAATATATTGAACTAGGACTGCTCAAACAAATTCGCTTTTTGTAGCTACAAGTATTTAATTTCAATAGATGATAAACTTCTAAATATAAGAAATTACCCTCATATGACAGTGTTGCAAGGTGTGTTGCAATGAATGTGGCACCCCGCATTCCTGATCCCGCATTATGTATTCTCAAAGAAAGCCATCATGATAAACCATGACATCTCATTTCTTCTAAGCCCTGTGTTTCAGGTGAAACAGAAAGATGCTATGAGTATCAGAATGGAAGAAAGCATATATTTGCATTGATGGTGTATATATAGTTATTTTATATAGTGTTTTTAGTTGTACGTGGAAACCTATTCTAACCAGGAAGGATATTGCAACTTTTTTCAAGATCCTAAAGTTGCAATTTTCGTTATAATTGTGTTTCATTGTAAAGACGCACCTGTGAAAGTGTGTCGCTGGTATAAAGGCGTAGTTCTAAATAAATTTAAGATACACGTTTTTTAAACTTGTACGTGAACGTGTAGAATTATGGACCTGATGGATTTTTTCTCCCTTTTGTACTGTTAATACTTGGCCGGTTGAGTATATAAAGGTATACATGTCCCAGCTTTTGGTAAGTGGGGGGTCAAACCTCCCCCCATCCACACATACACTTTTTATAATGCTTAAGTAACTTCGCATTGTAATTACAAGTCCATCCGTAATTACAAGTCCACCCGGACGATCTTGCACAGGTACTCATATAAGAACCTCTATATCTTTTTAACACCAATATAAAGATTGAAAAACGGACACACTATGTTAAAAATGTTATATCTAATGTGCCAATTCAATGATTTAGCATATCGAAAATATTTTCAACCTAAGTGACCACATCGTGACATCACTTAGGTGGCAACATTTTTCAATGTCAATCTTTTCTGAATATGCTAAACTTAAAAAATAAACCAATTTTGACTGTCTAACCAGGTTAAAAGGATGAATATATTATGTTTTTAATATTATTTTACCATTGGTTTCTATGAGAATTAAAATTTTGAAATGCATCTTTCCCTGAACCACTTTCATGCATGGATGAGTTCATTGCTCGCTCATCTATCAACCAATTTTCTTGATTTTGTCGGCAATAAAACAAGTGAGGATGATTGCTATGCATCGGTGTGAATTATCACTTCAAAGGATAAGTGTGACCTCTTAAAGTTAGTTTTAAATAAATTCACGATATTTTGAACAAAAAGACCTTCAAAAACATTTTTGAAATTAATAAAAAGTTTCACATTTCACATTTTGATAACATTGGATAGGACAACAATATAAGCCAGAGTGGTTTAAACTTTATATGGGGCCTTTAACTGATTAACACAATTTTACACCCATTGGAAAGACTGTACTGTGACTGGTTGGACAGAGTCGTATCAATCATGTATGTAACTACATGTCCAGTGGAAAATAACCAACTCTGATTATACCAAAGGTTGGAATTTGAATTATCATGCACATGATAGTAGTCAGATAGT